CGACCCCGGAGGGATGAAAGGCTTGGTTGGCCTAAGCATATATCGATCCGGGATCCGAAATCGTGACCATGCGTGTGTGTGTATAATGTGCCATTTGCCAATACCCCACTCCTCCCTTGGTCATCCTTGATCGAACACAAAACGTCATTCCGTTTCAAAACGCTCTCCACGAACTTTGAGTAACTCACTTTCTCGGTAGAAATTCTTTATCTGCATCAAAGTACCGTGATAGGGTTACTATCTCGAAAGGCTGAGTGCGATGACGTTTACGAGAAATGGGCCGCCGTTAATTTCCAGTTCTGATACCTTCTTCGAACATTTCACTGTCTTCTTCCAGTTTTCCTCAGAACGTTGTAAGCATTAGCTGAGTAATCATAAAAATTACCTTTAATCATAGATGAGATATTCATATTCACCAACATATCAATTAGCGGTTAGTCTTTATGTGAATTGTGCAAATTACGAACTTTCGGAGTCACGACAGTACAGCCACAATTAGGATTGTCTGGCAGGTAAGTCACAATTCCAAATCAACGGGATTGTCCCAAGTCGTATACCAGCTCTTTATTTGTGTTTTTCCTTTTATGCTGGGTGCCATTATGTTCGACAGTATACCATGTTTTAGCAGAAAATATCATTCTGCATTTGACCACTATTTTCTCTTTAAACCTTTGAAAAATCTGTCAATGCCCCTCGACCTTCTAAAAACCTGTTTGGATTAAGAAGTCAGCACTGTTGAAACTCTCCCTCTTCCGTGCCACTTTAATAATAAATGACTGAAATGCTACCTATAGTCGATAAGTGTTTCCTTGAAAATTTTAATCCGACCATTCCTCCGCAGAAACGATTGAAACTTATGCCAAGCATCTTGGCAAGCCCTTTCTGAGAAAGCTGTATGTAGGCATGTGAAGTCTAGTCATATATACTAATTGCCTATCAAACTGAGGGAGCGTAAGAAATTGGAATGTCGTTTCAAAGCATTCGCTCTAATGCCTCTCGAAGGCGAGGTTCATTTTGCGTGCCGACATTTGCAAGTAAACGCTTTTGTGAAAATAGTTCAAAGGGCATGCTAATTACATTGGTTCCACAGGATTCATTAATTCGTGCGGTAGTTGAGCTCATCACATGGGGGAACTTCATAACGTCTCAAGCATAACAAAATATTCCTGTAATCCGTTCCACTATGCTTACAAGTCACTATTACACTTTTTGGGGAAATTTCTAACCATTGTAATTACCGTAGTCAGGAGCAGGAGTAGTAGGAACCATAGATTTGCCCAATCTTGAGGTGCATGCATAGAACAGTCATAGAACGTCGCTGTGTTCCTCTAGTCCACGACAATCTATGATGATTAATCCGCCCAGGCCTGGACCAGCAGCGGCATCCGGGGACGCATTACATTCTATGCATCCGCCATAGGTATGGGCAAGGTTCGTTACAGAAGCGGAATGAGATTTTACTTAATTTCGTGCCAGGGGTAGTAAATGGTGCACATTGACGGTGAGGAAACTAGGAATGAAAAAGTGCACAATGTGACAGAGATGTTTCAAGCATGCAGTCAGTCCAGTGCATGCAGTCAGTCAGACCACCCCTACCTTCTTTCGACTACCCCTATCTCTACGCTAATTCCAGAACTTTTCGTCCTACCTGTCTTGGTCACCCCAGACAAAACAAAGGATCATCCCAGATCAGAGAGTAGTCTCCTAGGTGATTGACTGCTTTATAACAGCATTATTTGACTGTTATTCAGCCGCACCCCAACGGTGTTAATAGCGAAAGACGAGTTTTTTTTTTCGAACTTGACAAAATGAAGCTTTTCTAGCGACTATTCATAGCTATCCTAAGAAGTAACATTGTGTACCTGATTAGTTAATGGTATACTGTTTCTGATAATAAGTTAACTATAAATTGAAAATTAGCTTTATTAGGCTTTTGTTAGAATGAGAATAATATCAAAATCGGATAACATTTTAGTAATCATCAACCTAATGATGTAGACGAACCTTTCCCGGCTTCACAGCAATGAAGGTGAGACTTTTCTAGTAACACGACTTAGTCTACCTTCGATTTCTGAGCTGTCATCAATCCCCAGTACTGTTTTATCACTATGCGTTTGGGTTGAGAACCAGGGCCTTGGGGATGGGCCTTCTTTACTGATGTGAACAGCCTTCCTGTACACACAAGAAAAGTCGCAGTATGATTCCACTAATAGCCCCTTAATGCGGCTTGACTGCTTCTCCTTCTCCTTTTCCCCTTTACATCTATTTATCAATTTTTCCTTTTACACAATGAGCCAATAATAAAGTTCTTCTTTTGCTTCTTTTCGAGCTTTTTTTCGCTGTTCTTAGTAGTTGGAATAGCTCCAATTACCTTGAATTGTTGCTTTCGTTTCATAAGTCGCATCCTGTAGGGTAATGGAATAACCAAAAACGGAATCATTTCTACTATTTTTTATAGTTTATTAGTATTTCCCGAATCGTGTTCCTCTTGGAATATATAATTTTAAATTGCAGGCTTATAATCTAAAAATCTCCATTTTCTGATGGATACCACCGAATTGTTCACGCTCTTATTACATACGTCTTTCGACTCAATGGGAATGCTACTCAATGCTATTCTCTTCTATCTAGTCCTATATCGGACTCCTGTTCAGCTGAAGCTATACTCAATTCTGATCGGGAACGCGGCAGTCACAGATTTTCTAGCCTGCTTCTTTTCATTTCTTATCCAGCAACGGTAAGAATAGCTATAATCCTACCTTACACGTACTGTATCTTATAAACCTTTTTCAGAATAATCGCAATAGGAAGGAGTTTGATCTATTTCTCATATGGGCCATGTCGCTTGATAGGCACAGAATTTTGCTATGTAACGTATGTTAAAATTTGATTACAGTGAAAGTAGATCAGAAGAAATGATAAGGCAGTCGAGGTTTTTTTTTCCATGATTAGGTTAGTTTTTGGAATGCGAAGCAGCACTTAACTTCCACTGAAAAATCTTGAGGCGCTTACAATACACATGCCTCTATGAATGTACCGACTTGCAATGTCCAGTCGATGAACGAACGCCATTGCCTTTGTCCTACTGAGTGCAACACCGGTTGTTCGGCCCCACAATGAAGGCTGGAAGGCTTGGCTGTCTTGGGCGAGTATCGATCCGAATATCGTTCCCCAGACCATACGTGTGTGACAGTGCCCTTCCCCCTTGCCACTACATCACCTCTGCCCGAGGGGGAGAGAAATTTACTTGTCTACGAGGATAGAGCGCCGATTCAAACATTGGCTTGAAACTGTGTAGACCGTATTGTATAGGCCACATAGCTCGATTCTTCTATCTTGGGCAACAGTTTGTTAGATTTCGAAGTTCTCTTTTGTGCTTTTATTCACCCGTTGATGTATTTCAAAGTTGTTTTTTTTCAGATATTGTGCAATGATGTCGTGCCAGACTCATTCCTTGTACTCACTGCTGCTTTCGTTTTCCTACAGACACTATGTGTTGAAAAGGCAGCAACCAACCGCTCAATCGTTGAAGCTTGTTATTTTTCTGATTTCGATACCATCGATAGTTCTATTTGTAAGTTTTCGATGGAATTCGAATAACATCGAGATTTCACGAAAGGGAGGGGATTCAGGTCATCGCGTGCCATGCGAATGGGCCTGCGGCTGAACTAATTAAAATTTTGGAACAAAAATTGCCTGAATATGATGTTGATGAAGAAACAATCTCCGGTCACGCCTCTATTATGGAGTGGAGAACATTAACATCAATTCTGCTTATAGCTACTCCAGTTGTCCCTGTCTTATTAGCAATATTAATGTTCAGAAGACGTATTATCGCCATACTATCGAAACATTCACTGTCTGAGCATACCGAGATTTTGCACAAGCAACTGCTCAAGGTAAGTTAGTTTCACCCATACATTGGCTCCAGTTTCCGATTTAACCACTAATCGTGCAGTTTCAAAACGAATTTAATTTCCCTATTAAGTTTTTTGAAAGCTTTATGCCACGAAAAATAATGTTTTGTGTCCCCCTGTTCTGCTTCCCACACAGTGCAGACCAATCGAATAAGCTGAGAGGGATGGAAGTTTTATCTGGCCATAGAGGGAACCGGATCAAGGGTAAAACCTTCAAGGCATACATCATAATGTAATAGCTCCCGAGATTTTCAACTAGGACGAACTCTGGTCCACACGAGATAAGCCATACGAGACAGCGTCGGGTCTAAAAGCGTTCTCAATGTACGATTCATATAAAAGGACCCAATTAGGGGTCAGAGGCCGGTTTAGTAGGCGTCTACACCTCCACACCCAAGGACGGACGTGTTTTAACGGCATAATAGGGGCTGCTCCATTTACCTTGGAGCACATATGTTAAAAATTGAAACCACCAGTTGTGACCGTGGTGATTGAAAGACGATTCCCTGCTTCTTTGTCTCACCATACCCTGCTCTTTCAGTAATCACACTTGACTGGAATTTCGTCCAGGTACCCCATCTATACTGCCCCCATCATGGTAATTCCGTACAGATCCATGTTTTCAAAGCTCCTTAAGAAGCCCTATATAGTGCCGATTGCGGAGTTTTCTCGCTTCTTTTGCACTCAATTCATTATTCTTTATGAACAGTGCCATTTTCTATCTGAAAAGGGTAACTTGGAAACAATGTCAACTGTGCTATCAGGTCATGAGTGTGAAATCCGGGCATTCGATCAAACATCACCATCGTTCCTTGTCGAAGTTCCGGCGTCGAGCTATAGAAAATGATTGGACTGTTACAGAACGGCTCCCTTGAGTTACGCAGTTTAGTAGAACTACCTACACTTCGTACACAAATATCAGTCATTCAAATGATTCTATTTCAACTAATTTCGCAAACTAATATCTGATTTTACATGAAATATTCCCAATTACCTATTTTCCTATTCTATTTCTATGACTACATGTTGGTTTCAGGCATTAACTTACCAGTCACTACTGCCAGGCCTGTTCTTTTTGGCTCTTGTATGTTACTTGTGCAGCCAATTCGATCTTTGCCATCATCCATTTTTGGAATCACTTACGCTATCATTTCTGAGCTGTTATCCTGTACTAAGCCCAGTTATGAGTTTATGGTATATTCGATCGTACAGGCAACGTATAACACAATACTTCCCATTCGCTCTTAGAAGAATTTCTTCACATATTACTGGGGAACCAAGCTCAAGACGTATTCAGCAGTGCTTTAGTGTTGGAGTAAGGCAACAAAAATAGTCAAGGAAGGAGCTCATAACGGTTTTCAGACTATTGTTCATTTGGGTGAGACTTCAACTTATTTCGTGCTTTACTTCTGTGGATAACTTTTAAACTCCTTCATTCCAGCTACTTCAGTTGCCCACAAATGGTGATGTGTCATAACATTCACTCATTAGATCTGGTTCTGCAAGGATAGAACATATAGTTTGGTGAAGCAGAGTACATCGATCGAAATCGTTGGGAAAAGGAATTAATTGTCTGAAGGATAAGCATTAGCTAATAATTTGAAATTTTTGAGATACATGTGCCACCATCGCACGCTTGAAAGGAAATTAGCCATTTTTGATGCCATTGTGTCCTACACCGATCTGTTTTTCTACCCGGATTTTTCTGATGTTGGAAAGTCTTTTGTGTTGGCGATTCATTACTTTGAATGAAGAATGCCTTTATTTGTATAGACTGGACAGACAAAAATAAAACAAAATAGGAAGATTGTAAGAAAGCTACTCTTCGAAAAAGGACCAAGCTCTTCAGCTCCTAAGAAGCTTTGATAAATCTCTCAAAATTTTAAACCATCTAAAGCTTGGGAAAAGGTTCCTGAACGAAGATCGATTGAGTGGTGTATGCGATAGTTTTAGAAAGCCGACCTTGATATCAGTATTACAGACCTACGTAGGTTGCCTTTTATATTTTGAGATTTGAGAACCGAAACAAATACTATTTATTGAAAACCGGTTTACTGCCTTTCAAAAATCTCCACATTAAGATCTATATACTTTTGTATGGGCTCGAACCAATTTTCGAAGCACTTTGCCACTCTGATGTAGGTAACTCTAAAACATGGATTCTGAACGCATCAACGGCTTCTTCAGGTGTCGAAAAACGTTGACTTCCCATTTTATTTTTTACGTACGGGATGAGAAGAAGTCACCCGGGGGCTACAT